CTTCTCGGGGATTCTTCAAGTCCCGCAAAATGATGTGTGACGTCATTGCGGGCACAGCGCTCCAGCTGCACCGTTCAGGATCCCAGCATCTGCATGTAAACACACGATGGCGAACACAGCAGCAAGCTCAGACAGCGATGACAGTTTCATTTTGAACGTGTCTGAGAGCTCATATGAGGCTGAAGGATCGCTTTATGTTGTATCTGTTAGAAGTTTAGGAATTAGGTGCGTCAATATGGGCGATCATACGGTCATGTAGCCAGTGGTGGACTGGGACTAAAAATCATCCCGGGACTCTCGACCGGCCCACTTCGGTACCGCTAGTAAATTGTCAACGGGGGGAGTGGGGATGTGCTAGTGACTTATCCAACCGGCCCACTTCGGTACCGGCCCATCGGGATTCGTCCCGATGGCCAGTCCGCCACTGCACCCAGCCCAGCCCACGTAAACTGTCAACGGGGGGAGCCTCGCTGCGGGGGAACGGTGGACCTGGGCCCTTTCTCATTTCATCAAATCCCCCTCCTCGACTCCTCGGTCCTCCGGTAGTGACCCGGAAATGAATTTCAGCGCGCCATGTTGAAGGACATCTCATTTCTCTAAATGCACTTCGAGGACCGAGGACCGAGGACCGAGCATCGAGCATCGAGCATCGAGGAGGCTCTCTGGAGGAGCTCTAACCGAGGATACACTGATGGGTCCTCCACGGCTCCTTCGTGGATGCATTTCCGGGAACAGAGATGTTTCAAAGAGTCGTGACGCACGGCCGGGGATATTATTTTATTAACTGCTTTCATCACGACGCGATGTTTACAGTGAGAACAGCTGTGAGGTCCGTGCAGAAAGCAGAGCAGTGTGTAAAATATATATCACTCAGTATAACAGGCGTACTCTCTTTATTTGCTTTAGTTTAGTAGATATCTACAAACAAAGAGTCGATATTTTTCTAAAACCATTTAGTGCTTCACATAATAAAATACACAACGGCTGTAGCCTGTTTTAGGAACTGTATGTCCGTGTGTGTGGTGTAGGTGTGTGTGGTACAGTGTGTGCGTAGATGCAGCGGACAGACAGGTCTCAGTTGGTTTGGTGTCCTCTGCTTACTTTTAATACTTGTAAATAAAACTTTTGGCCCGTAATTTATTTTCCTCATTGTAGCGACCAGAGGGGGGGGGGGGGGGGGGGGGGGAGGATATATCCAGTCTCTGATAGTGTTACGTTACGATGAGAGTGCTCTGTTTGATTCTGAAATTGTATATATTTATATAAATATATACATATATGTGTGTGTGTGTGTGTGTGTGTGTACGCATCTGTAGCCTGTTATTGTCTCATTATACCGCACTGTGAATGAATTAAAAGTAAATATATAAGTCGTCATGAACACATCTGTCCATCAGACAGAGGGCTGCTGTGCCTCCTGTCATCATTAATGGACGTCTCTTTCAAATGACCGCTCACAGGAGAGGAGTTCTCATTCTCAAAAAACCACACGTTTAATCCATGTTGGTGTACTACAACTACAAAAAGCATCGGTTTGTTTTCTCATCAGGAAATGCAGACCGGCTCAAACAAACGATTTTTAAATCATCATCCTCACGATCATTTATGTTTATGTTTGCCGAATTGACATGAAAGCACTGACGAATATGAATATACTGTAGTCAACTTCATTACAACGTTATTAACGTGCCTAAACTCAGTAATTCACCATTTCTACGCATGACAACACACTTTGTCCGTGTTTGGCTCACTCGCCGCACAGTGAAGCGTTCCCGCATTGACGTCACTTCCGGCTTCCCCCAAAACTTCAAAATGAGTCGAAGGAATTTTCCCGCGATGTTCGAAATTATTGATATTTATCGGAACGGTATCGCACCTTCTTTTTTAAACTGACGGTTCAAGATGACTAGTAGCCCAATATTTCATTGCACAACAGTTGTTGGGATGCTGTCACAGGCTCTTTAAAATAATACTTCTGCATACAGTATGTGACAATGTAAGTGTTGCACGGCCAGATACGGCTCAAGAAGCTGACTTCTTGAACTGACTGTATATATGATACATTATGATGTGATATGAATGATAATGGGACACATCGACGTCTGCACTCACAGTGCCGCGGACTGTATGTAATGTTACTTTGATCCGGTTACTTATGTTGTGGCAGATATTTAAGTAGGCTTTCTTAACGCTAATGTTATAATAGTCAGATTGCTCTGAAGATGGGAGGTACTCTATACATTTTCACATTCACAGTCGGTGATTTTTGCCGGCCGTCTTTCCTGCAACGGCAGTTTTTCTGTATTTCCTTTCTCCTGTAATATGACTTGATCGCTTTAAACTCCGCACACTGAGCTCTGATTGGTCAGCAGGCGGTGCTTTCACTGAGTTGAGCTCTGCAACCTAACCTGCTCCTGGGCAGGTTAGCCGCTCAGCATAAGTTACCATGGAGATCTAGCCCGCTAAGAAGTGAACCAGCGTCGTAGGACCGGAAACCCAGAGTTTTCCCTGAAGTTAGCCGGCTAAGCGAAAATCCGGCTTCGTCGTACAGGCCGTATATACAGTAGAGGACGTATATGCATGTTTTTTCTGGATGCTTTCGTACTCATCCCATGTGAAACCTGGTATGTGAGTGAAAGAAAGTCCCTTTATTTGATTCCATTCTCTTATGCACATGTGTGTGCATGCCTGTACAAAGACAAAAGGGACTGCAGTTCCAGAAGTAGGGCAGCATCCCCTGGAGATCACATCTCTAACACTCTCAGGGAGTAACGTGCACAATGACATGGCAGTGAATATTCCCCCGCTGCACAACAATACACTGGCAACATCTGGACGTGGCTGCTAATAGCATCGAGTTTGGTCGGGTGTTAAATGCCGTATATTTGTTAATTATTTACTTTGGAAGAAACACTTCATCTGGTGCTCCAACAAGCCCAACATAATCAAATGATCTTCAGGCCGGCCGTTATCAACCTGTGGGTTCGAGAGATCATTTGTTGGGGTCGCCAGATGGTTGTGCAGAGATTTAGATTTTAGATTGCAGAATGGTTGACTTATTATGCATTTCTTAGAGTTTGTTAAGGACAAAGTGCTGCTGTAGGGCATTAGTTAAGGCTCCAGAAACAATAGCTCCTACAGTCCATGGTGTCAGATGCATGTCACCTCTTCCTCTGGGACCAATGCGTGATTGATTGCTGTGGTATGAGCAACAAAGCAGCATGATTGATTTAAAGGAGTGTGCAGGTGTTTTTGAAGGTTTCAGTCCATTTATGACAAATCATGCATGCATTGCTGCTTTCCCAATGGCTCACACAGCTTGGAGATTGATGGATGATTTTCCATAGTATTTCATACCATACTGACATAAAGGAAAAGCAGCCTGGAAGGTAAGAGCGCTGGTATGCTTGGACAAAGGTATTAATGTTAGGTAGATTAGATTATGGTAAATGAGCTCAAATAAAAAGCGTACTTCTGGTAAATAAACTGTCTGTCACAGAGAGTCTACAGCGCACACGTTTCAGACGCATTTCTCAGACGTCCGTCTCGTTTAAACCTCCGCACATCCATCCACCATGACACCTTCCTATTGGCTGAGATACTTAGTGTTCATCCATCCAACACACCATCCACTAGGTTAAACACTTATTTTGTTCCCGATGGTGTTTGGGGAAAATGGATTTCTAGTAATAAGACAGTGTCCGCCTCTTTAGAAAAAATCAAGCAAAATGTCAATAGGTCAAAACCGTGAATGCACAAACCACATCATCTTCCCTGAGGTACTGAACGTTTCTGTGCTTATATTTACATGAAATTGCAAATACTGCCATCATATGTAATGTTAGCATTAGAACCCAGGGATATTGCTAAAAAACCTGCTATCCTGATGTAGATATGCAGTTTAGTCTTTATGAAATAACCACTGTATGTGTATAATCCTATGTGAGATAAATACTAAATCCTCCAGGGTGCTGTGACTTCAGAAAGGTAAATATTTGTTTGCTTTCTCGCAAAAGCTGCAAACAAACACAAAGTGGGTAACCATTGACCAAAATGAATTTGTATTTCTGTTTAAAACTGCAGCATTTTATCCTCATTCTCTCTCTATTCTCTTGTTTGCCTGACTTGCACTCAATCAACCTCTCAAATCAATATGTCTAAACAGAGATTCTAGCATAGCATTGTCCGCTGACGTCTTCCTGTTGAGCATTAAAGACAAACTAAGAATACTTAGAAAGCAGCTTTCATTGGCCTCGGCCCTGGGCAGATATCGCAGCACAAAAACTATTCAATTAGCTTCAAATCTCTCAGTAATGCTTTTAACCATATCAAATTAACATTGTTATGGGCGAATGCCTCCATTTAAATCCTACTTGAATGTAACAAACAGCCTTATTCACACACACACAAAACTTCACACACCCTCAAACCCTCAACCACCACCGCTGATTTCTTTGAATTTAAATGAATTGAAATGACTTCATTTAGTTTGCCTCTGAAACAATCCGCACAAGGCCAAAGGGAAACGCTGCGAAACTACGCCGCTTTCCGTTTAAGCGAGATGTGGGAAAAGAGAGTCCTTGCAACTTAATCTTTAGATCTTAATGCGTGAAATGATAAAAGCTTGTTTTTGCTATACGAAACATGCAGCACAAAGCCAAAGCTGTGTTAATGATTCTTTGAAAGTAATTTCAGTTAATTTCCTATCGCCAAGAGAGCAAGAGACTGAGACGGGAGAAAGAGGGACAGATCTAAAAATAGACAGAGAATCATAGATAGGAATGCAAATAAGAAAAACTTTCAGGGAATTTAATGAGTGAAACTGCTAATTAGCGAGAGGAGAGATAGATGCAGAATATGAGGCTTTTATCGTAGTTATCCGACAGAATGTGTCTCTTAAAATAGCAAAAGGGTGATATTGTGGTACAGCCTGAAAATGGAAGAGGTGTGTTTGTGCCCACATCTGCTCCACACACACATCTCAAACAGGAAACACTCACCGAGAGCGGCTGGTGCAAAGAGGCTGGCGAGGACGAGCAGGCGTGCGGTCCACATGGCCTCCTCCTCTTACCGCCCGCTGCTCCAGGTCCCAGTAGAGTTCAGTGTTTAGCTCGCAGACGGACAAATCGGTGCTTCCTTTGCGGCAGGGCTCCCTCCACTGCGCCACGCTTCCCACAGAAAACCAAGAGTCCCGTTACTCCAGATGCCGTCCAAAATCTGCCATAACACACAGAAGAAAATACATGTTAGCTGAATTCAAACGAATGAGTGATTTGCTCTTTTGCAGTAAGAAACACAACAGATGGATGCACCGTGGCTTCATCATCTTGTGGCTCCAAGTTGTCATCGAGTGACACGCTGCAGTCAGCTGAACTCATACCGGGTGTGATCAACAAAACACGACACACAAAATGTATTTTAGGATAATCTGCTGTTGTTTGCTCATCAATGTGTTACCAGTTCATCCCCCCCGCAGAGAGAGGAGGTGTAAGCCACGTTGCTTTGGGCGTAAGAAGTATACATCTTTGCATATGTGCTCCTGATGGTTATTGACATAAGTAACGCGGCTGTGTTTTCCCTCTCCTGTGGGCAGCAGGCAGAACTTCACAGCTTGACTTGTTGCACCTGTGAATTTATTTGCGAGGCATAAGAAAACACTATACTGTGCGCGCAGGCTTTGCTCCAAAAAAAACAAAAAAAACACCAAGCAGATCCTCTCCGAAGAGCAGAATGAGACGGAGCCACCTTCGACCTCCTCTCAGAACATGGGAGTGCCGTCACCAGCGAACTCCTGACACCGGATGAAGTCATCGCCATGAGCTTCTTAACATAACATGAACGTCAAATGTGATTCACACGGTGTGACTTCAGTGAGATCGACACTTGGGATGTGTTTATTTTCGCAAAATGCTGCGAAGAGAAGCACACATCCTATAAGTGAACACACGGTTAGATTTGTTTGTGATGAGATTTTCAGGATTATCCACATTAAACCCAGACTAAGTCAGATTTAATGATTAACCACAACCTCTTTATCAATCATGATCTACTGCAGAAATATAATCTCTGCAACATGATGCAAGCCAACACATGATCATGCCTTACTGCGTTTAATATCCCAGGATGTAATTCCACTGGTAATAAAAGGTCAAAACGTGAGCACGGCATCAAAGGACAGGACACTAGAGAAGCTGACTGACGGGAACATCTCAAATTATACCAACATTACATTTTAAAACATCTCTATCAGACATTCAACGTCCATCCCAGCATGATCCGTCTCAAAATCTAGCTCGTAATACCCATTCAAATATCCCAGATTAGAGCAATCCGTTCTTTTAAGCTGATATTAATGGGTTTAAGAGAAAGCCTATCTGCAGAAACAGAACATTTGGGCAATATTAAGAGGTTAAAAGTCGGCATCCTCATCAGCAAAGTCTTGGCAGAGTCGCGTCAGAAGAATGTGCTGTGCTGCTGGCTTATTTTCCTGTTTATATGCATGGATGATGAAAGGTGTTTTTAAGACGTTAAAATAGCGACGTCAGAGAGTGCGTTTGATCAAAGTAATATCCTCGTGAGGAAACAGCGCTTTTAATAAAAGACTCTGACAGCTGCAGGAGCACTAAATTAAATATGACAGCAAATCAAGACGCTGTGACTCCCTTGATGAAAATAATACATTATTGCAGGCGTAATCACATTTAAACTCACTGTCCAAGCAGCAAATTAGACTAGAAGTTTACTCCGTAGGACAACTGGAGCTGTAGAATAACAAGGAGGCACAGGTACATGTCGGAAACATATCAGACATGGCAATATGTCACTTGTTTTTGGCATGATGGTTGCAGATTTGCACCTAGAGTGTCAAAAGTATGCAGGGGGCAAGAGAAGGAAATACAGAATGAAGACAATGAGAGTGTGTCTCACCGTGTGAATTCCATATCTCACAGCACAATGGATAAAGCGGCGACTACTTGCACAGGTGTTACTTATCACATCAAATGTAAAAACACTTCACTATCACAGTCGTTAATTTGCTCTGAAAACGTGTGGGCTGAGGTACAGGAACTGCTAGCGAGCGCCAAGCGGAGTATCCTAAAAATACATATTTATGAGAAGGGCTTGGACCCAGTTCAATGCAAAAAGAAAGAGAAAGAGACGAGCGAAAACTAAAAAGACGGAGCGGTAGTCCGGCATTTGCCAACTGGTCTTGTATTCCAGAAGGAGCGTCGTGGTGCTGACGCTTCAAGGGTACTGCCTCTGAGGGGGATTTAGGATAACTCCCTCAGATAACTTGGCCAACATTTAGCTTCTGTTCTACACACATCAAGGAGACTTCTTCATTACAGTCTCGAGAAACTTCTCCTAATCACTCATGTTGTTGTTGTTCTTGTGTGCCAGAGGGGCCAGATGAAACTTGACAGGTCTAATTAATTGACTTTTCTGTCTAGTCAAAGTCAAATGGAGCTGGGTGACATAATACCAGCAATGGTTGATAAGGGGAAATATGTTGTCTCGCAGCAATCATGTGACATGGAGAAAAAGACCAGAGCGTTAAGGGATATGAAACATTTTAACTTCATTCAAGCTCCTAAATTAAAGCTGCGTTCGAGGGGCCTGGGAGTAATCGAGACTAAATATGTCAAGGAAAACACACTGTGTTTTTTTTCTTTATTCATTATTCATGCGTCAATGACAATATCATCTATCAGGAGAGGTGTTTCAGCATTAAAGGATGTTGGGCTTCACTGATGTACTACTCACCACCTCCAGCATCTTTACTTGGATAACGCTCCTCGCATGAAGTGAGAGTCAAATGTGTGATGCTGCAATTAGGTGAGATATGTGACCGTGCTTTAACAATGACAACACCTGTAGGGAACAAACACTCCTCTGCAAGGCTGCAAGAGGGAAACCAAATACATGTTTTACAAAAGCTGTTATTGCCCTGGCATTTGGTGCAATGTAAACTGGGTTATTTCAGATATTCAGGCTTTTCTTTCTGCAAGAGGGTTAGCCCCAAGTCAATTATAGTACCCCAATTGTTTTACATGCTTTTTACATCAACTTTTCATATTTAAATACACAACTACTGGTTTGCATATGAGTCACTGTCTAGTCTCCACTGTGATTGCTCTAAAAGAAAATCATAGCATTTCTGAAAATGCATTAAGATCTTTTGAAAGAATTAAAGGTCATCAAACATATGTGGATAATTATTGTTCTTTTAAACTATTTTCTATCAAAATGTCAACTATAAAGCATGAATCTAAATGCCTTTCCCATTTACTCATGTTACGGTTTACAGACATTTACAATACATCTAGTGTAGTGGAAAGTGACTTTGCCTACAGCAGGGAGTTCATTACCTGTGAAATGAAGAAGAAAAAGCAGTTCTGCTCATTGATTTGGGTTATGCACAACCACAGATATTACCTGTAGCTAAGACACCATATGCATATCTTATTTCACTTTTAAAAACTACTTTAAAATAAAATCGCATAAAACAAAAACAGTAGTAAAACAAGGGAAGGCAACGGAGGTAGAAAGAATCATGAATCAATTAATTTGTGTTGCTATTTTTCTGTATGAATGATTTTCATTATTTATTTTATAAGCATTTTTAAGATAAACCTGAGAAATATCTGAAGGATACTGTGTCGCAGGCCTCTCATCTCTTCCCCCTGGCATTAGATTAGATATGATAACATGACGGAGAGATGTCCATCACTCTGAAGCACCTCAGCGCCTGCAGACATGTCTCCATTCGACACTTTCCTGACCCGAGGAAACCAAAGATTTTCATTAAATCCGATGCATTCGATGCTTCTGCCGAAATTGGATCCTGCGTGTTATCTGACGGGGACATACTAAGCACCATGTTCCTCGTCATGCCTCTTGAAGCCCCCCCAACAAGTTACACTATGTTAATGAATCAGGTTAAGAGGCATGTCCTCAGATTTCATGTCCGGATTCTTATCCCAGCAGCAGGGAAGGGTAATTTTTATGAGACAGGCAGTGTGTTCATGCAAATGGAGTGTCTGGGATCAAATGAATATTAATCACGCACACTGTCTGCATACAGTGTGATTGATGAGCACTCACTCGGAAATCTGAGGAGATGATTAAAATCGAGACGAACCTTTCCTTTCTAGAGTTAAAGATTCTTTGTTTTCCACTTGGTTGGGCCACCTTGCTGAAATTGAGCGGTCAGTGTTATAACTCTAAAACAAAGCAGAAATGTCACAATCATGCTTTCTAATGCGAGCTGAAAGGTGTGAAGGTAAATGGAGATGGCTCTTTTTAAGAACATCCCTGGAGCTACACAACATGAGCAGCAAGCGTTCACTCCACAATTTCCACCAGAGACCCCGACACAGCGAGCCAGTGACAGGCAGATAATAGCACTAACTTTAGCCGCACAGTGTCTAAATGCTCCTCTATGATAGGCTTGTTGAGTGTGACTGATGGCTGGGGTTAAATAAAGAGTCCCCCCCCCCCCCCTGTGCTCACAAAGGCATTGCAACTCCTCCCAACACTTCCCAACTACGAGACCATAGAAAAACAAGCCGTTAAGAGGAAATGACTTGCACGCACAATAAAACTAGCTGACAAACAAATTAGCATTACAAATATTTAACAGTAAACAAGCATGGGTTACAATCCCACAAAGGAAAGCACACAGAGGTACGCAGAGAGATGCATCATTTAAATCAGCCTTCAGACATTATAAAGCAAAGCTCACACACACACACACTATCTATTCTCCACGTCTTCCTTCTTTCTATCATCACTGTCTTTCTCTCTCTCACTTTATCTTGCCTAATACATACCGGAAAAAGGAAGAACGATGGGCAGAAGAGGGGTGATAGAAAGAGAAAGAGATTAACTATCAAGAATAACGAAAGGGAGGAATGTAGAAGATTGAAGGATGGAGGATAAGAGGGTGGGAGGACAGAAAAAGAGTGAGAAATAAGTGATATTAATGAGAAAATGGATGAAAAATAGACAGAGATGACGGCGTGAAGCAAAATGTACTCGCTGATATTTGAAGGTCATGAATATACTTCAGCTGCTGTTGCATAGTTATTCAGATAGTATTTCCATTTTACTCATCTACAGCACATATTGCAAGCCAATACTGTATATTCTATTTGACAACATTAGTTGCTTTGCAGATTCAGACTAACTTATTGCAGAGACAGGAATGTATCATG